CCTCTACTTTTCCACATATTCTGTGCGGTGCCCTGGCGCATACGTGCCAATTTCAAAATTCGCACATCCTGGTGGCCACGTGACTTTTGTGCGAGTTGCGTGGGTGGCGGGCGGGAAGGGGGCGGGGTCGGACAGCCCGCCAGAGCGTTGGTGCCAGCCAGGCTATGCGCGCGCGCACTCAGCCACGTTCGTCTGCTGTTACGAAATGCCTTGCGCTGCATATTGCCTCAATCGTCACTTCCCCCTGCCCGTTTTTTTTTTGTTCCAACGATTGCCTCGAAAAACCCGCGTCACTGGCTCCGCGCGGCTTTCCTCGCCTCGCACCGGTCCCGGTCCTCATCGCTAGTAGCAGGGGGTCTCGCTCTCCTCCCTCGCTACCGTCCCCTCCCCTTCCCCGTTACCCTTCCCCTACCCACGGCGGTCCCGATTTTCCCCGATGCATTGACCTCGGCCCTCATCGCTAGTGGCATCAGTTCAGTCCCCCCAGTGGCCCAAGCCCATTTCGCTGTTAGCCTGCCCCGCAGAGATGCTTTTTAATTTCCAGTTAATTTTCAGCCCCTATACTAGATACATGCACCACCCCTACAACAGCCAGTGACGCTGGTCTTTATTTTTATGCGTTTTTTGCAGCTATGCAATGCAAAAACGCAAATTGACGAGGAATTGTCTGTGTGTCTGTGTGTGCGTCTGTCATGCACTTTCATCTCAAGACCTATAAAAGCTGCAGAGCTGAAATTCGGGGAACTTGACCTACATGTAAAATGGGCGCCATTATACGCTTACGGGCCCGCCGAAATTTCTTTTGGGTAAGTTCATAACTCGGGGATCTGAGAAGCTAGAAAGCTGAAATCTTACGGTAATGTTCCCCGTCCAAGTGGGTGTTAAGGCACTGAAACCCATCCCCCGAGTAAGCATGGTACCCGCGTACGGTCCCGCCAAATTTTTTTTTTCGGGTAAGTTCACAACTAGGAGATCTGAGAAGCTAGAACGCTGAAATCTTAAGGGGATGTTCACTGTCCAAGTGGGTATTAACGAGTTTAAACCCTGCCCGCGGGTAAGCGTGATACTTACGTACGGAACCGTGAAAATTTCTTCTGGGTAAGTTGCTAGCTCGGGAAAGTGAGAAGTTAGAAAACTGGGATTTTGAAGCGATGTTTCCTGACAGTTCTGGTGTCCACTCTGAAATTCTTTTAGCTAGAAGCATCTACCGGAAAAATTAGTGCGTTGACGACAAAAATCTGCCGGGAGCTATGCAAAAAACGCATCTTCGCACGGGCAGCCCATGCGCTGGCCAATTATTTCTTCCAGTTAGTTAGCTCTACCTGTAATCGATGCACCCCTCGGTTCCATTGGATTTCAATTGCTTACGCAATCAAACAAGCCACTCGTTAGTTATACAGCAGTTAGCAATTAAGGAGTGAGATTGCGGATATCTGCTTTCCCAAGAATTCGGGAAATCGATTCCCCCAGTGGAACAACCAGTCCCTCTACGATTCGTTCATTCGTATGGCTGGTACTGGATCAGAAGCCAAACATCTCATCAGCTTGTGTCTAAGCAACATTCAGGAAACTGGGCCACCGGAGCCTTGCCAGCGAGTGCTTGCCACTGGCATTTGCTCCCATTCGGGCTACTTTCGGCTGCTCTCAATCTTACAGAAAACGAATTACGGAAGTCTCAAATTTTAAAGTAATTAAAAATGCTAATAACTAAAAATTTTCTAACAAAAAGGAGCTTATCCCTCCCCACCCACTCCTTCGTCTCATTCACGGTCTTCTTTCGTCCTTACCTACTCCCTCATCCCGAAGATCTTTTATCCGATTCCTTGCAGTATTGCATTTTGTATGTACCGTCTATCCGTTCCGAAATTGTTTTGCCTTACCAAATGAGCCAATTAATGTTTCCTGCATGATTTTCTGTGTAATTTAGTTACGTGTCAGTGTGCATCCATGCTTTTTTTTTTTACCGAATTCCAGGCCGCTATCACAGAATTCGCACTAACACTAAAAAAACTCACCGAATAATGCAAGCAGCTAACACCATCACACAGACAACAACGGTACCGTATCTTTTGCCGGCGCCTATGCCCGCTGAACAACAACAGCAACAACTCGGGTATACTGTAGCAACAATTGGTATGTCAGAAAAAGATTGAAAGCAATAAGCCACTAGTGCTTTATTTTCATTGGTGAATCCGGGGGGGAGGGGCTTTTCGCTCCCCTTCCTTCCTCCCCCTAGGGGCTTAGGTAGCAGTTGTTTTACTGTACAAAAATCTGTTCGGTATCTCCTGTCGCCTCCGCAGAAGCCTTACCAGCCAGTTTAGTATCCATGAGCGAGAGCGAAGAGGGGCGGGGGGACGGAGAGGAAAACAGCGAGACCTTCAAGGGGAAGGTGTAGTGAGACTGGAAGGCGGGTAGCGCGACGATTGAGGGATGGATTGTGAACTGACAGGGGGGGG